CTTTTGAGGCATGGATCGAGGGTAGTTTTTTTTACTTCACAAAAAGGCCTGCTGGATTTTGCATCTATATACATACCGATAGACAACTAAATCGATAGATTCACATGAGATACCTTTACCGCGGATAGATAATATAAAAAGGGTATCAATTCATATGCTAATGTTCTATTCAGTGGAATAAAGATAAAATAGAAATTATCTTTTGGACAGATGAATGCAAATTTACACCAAATGAAGTGTAAATTCACACCAAAGGAAATGCAAATTCATACTAAATGAATGTAGTGGCTGCACCAAATTTTAGAAAACAAAATTTAGCCACTAAATTAGTGATAAACTTAGAGACGGATTTAACAAGGAAAATTTTTGAAACAAAAATTTCCGTCTCTAAACTAGTCACTAGTTTTCACAAATTTTCTCAAAAATTGTTGTTGTGTCCTTCTCCAAGCTTCTCCCAAGTGCAGAAACCTCTCCAAGTGTATCTCTCCTCTCTTAGGAATAACCTTGATGTTAGTTATTCCTAGGTGTTTGTCTCCCACCAAGAGCTTTCCACCAAAGAGAATAGCAATCTCCTAGGCTTCCACAAACACTTCAAGATGCTACCCTTGTACTTGGCTTTCCACACCTTCAAAGAGGCACTCAACACACCTTAAGTTGCTGGATTTATATAAGAAAAACTGAAAAAGCACAATTAGGAAAAGATACACCAAGTGGTAGAATTAAAGAGACAAGACTAGAAAGAGTTCCACAAAAGACAAGCAAAAATTAAGGCACCAAAGAAAGGCTAGTACACAAAGGGAAACCTATCAATGGCACTAGAGTAGATTACAAAATAAAATATAAGATTAAAAACAAAATAAGACTCAAAAAAGCAAGAAATGTGTGGCTGGACAAAAAGTTAAGGCAAACAACACACAAATCTGAGAGCAACAACTTCACTAATTTTCACTCCTTTTGGCTTTTCTTTTGTTCTTTCTTTGTTCTTCTTTTTTTGCAAATTTTTTTTTCACTTATTTTTCTTTTTGACACAGGAGTTTAATGCCTTTTTATCATGCAAGAGTCTCAGATTTAACCATAAAAAAACTGCTGCCAAAATTCCACACAAAACAAGAGGTATTCAAGTGAAGTGTTCAACTAGTGCTTCACAATTTTGTACTATTTTTAAGTCCAATTTTTAAGCACCTTTTCTTTTGTTTTTCTAATGCTTTTAACACACTAATACCTCTTTTTTGCCTCTGTTTTTAGGACTTAAAAAGTGTTAAAAGTTTCAGCCACAAAGCAAGACTCAAAAAATCCTAATAGGAATTAGTGTTTAACAATTTTTTTGACAAACTTTTTAATGTGACATAAAGGAAACCTAACTCTAGGAAATTTGCTAGAACTAATAGCAAATTATGAACTCAAATATGCAAAACAAAAGCACATGTAGGTCAGGTACAAAGAGTATAAAAAAAAAGCACAAACCAAATGGACCAAAGAACAAGACAAAAAAAACAAAAGTTAAACAAGCTAATCTAGGAATTAATGACATGTAAAGGACTACATATGACTCTAGACAAAACACAAGATTATAAACCAAAAACACATTCTATTCATTATCATAATCCAATCACGGATTCAGGTCATAAGGAATAAGAGAAGACTCAAAAAAATAAAAAACGCACAAGTTCATAGAAACCTAAAGCACCAAAACCAGAGTGATTCAAGATTAATGGAACAAAAAAAATGTGAATCAATCAATTATCATGTGACATATAGGATCCATCAAAATATGTATTAAACATAGATCCATACAGCAAACACAAGAAGTGACATGTAAAATATGAAAGAGACAAAATGGATTCAAACAAAGTTTAGGAACACATAACCTCAAGAGCACCAAGGCTCTAGATACCAAAACTGATGGAACTACTTGGAGAAGGTTGATGTTTCTTCAAGTTGAACCATGCTAAGTCCCTTCTTCTCTTGAGGTTCTTCACGCCAATGGATGATTTTGATGAGTTCAAGCTTCAAAAGCTTGAAGATGCTTCCCAAGGTGGTTCGGTTTCTCTTGAAGGAGAGAAACTTGAGGAACCAAGCACAAAGGAGAAGTTCCTTTGTGAAGCTTCTAGGAGAAGGAGATTCTCCACGAAATTGGACTCTTGAAATGAGAGAGAATTTCTGAATTCTAAGTCTCATAAATGTCAAAAGTGATTACAAGAGTAGAAATTACAAATATATAGAGGTAGGTAGCTTAAGGAGCAAGCTAACCTTAACCATGGTTCACTAGGAACCATGGTAAGGTTAGTTGACCTTCTAGGTGAGTTTAGAAACTTGTGGAGCAAGCTTCTCACTTAGCTTTCTTCCCAAGCAAGCTAATGAGAAGCTTGTAGCACAAGCTTCTCATCTCCTTGAAGGTTAGAGAAGCAATTCGGTCAAAGAAAGGAGACTAGGCAAGGTGGTCGGATTTGGTCTCTTTTGGCTCCTTGAATTAATTTCAAAAATGTTTGATTTGGTTTAGTTAGGTTCATCCAATGATGATGAAACCTAGATAAATCAAATCTATGAAAAATTAGGAGCAAAATGAGTCCAATATGTAAAATTTTGCCTAGGCCCAATTCTGGCCCAATTACTAGTCACACCCTCAAGCATTACTAAATGCCGCCCCTCTTTTCCTACTGAAAAAATAGAAAATGAGTGTATCAACAAAGGAGGTTAAATAGAGTCAAACTCTCCAAGTAACCCACCCTAGAATCAATATACAATGGCTAATAAAAGAAACTAAAGTGCCTCACAAATACAAAGGCAAAAATAAGCCTATACAAGAGAACTATGTACAAGATATTTACAACTAGAACTATGCCTTCTCTTCATGATAGAGTGGTCCAAATTGAAGAGTACCTTGGGCTTGAAAAGCCCACTGGTCTTCAAGGTGTCCACTGGTCTTCAAGGTGGCCATAGCTCTAAAGATTAGGCCCTTGGCCCATGGTCCATCATCTCATTCCTCTTGGTTCCTTCAATGTATCACCTCTTGGATTCCTTGGCCTTGGCCATAGTCTATCATTGGCTGACCTTACTCTTACCTTTCGAGCTTCATCTTTATCCTCGGGTAGAGTTCCCTCCTTTAAGTAGTTCCAAATACCCGTCATCCATCTTTGGTCTTCACCTTCACTAGTGTTGACGACTTTCTCGTCTAGACTGGGTGAATTCAGGGTCTCCTAGATGATGGTCTGATGTTTCTCGGGGCGTTTCATACTGGCAAGTTTGGACAGGATCAGCTTTGGCATTCTGCTCTCGGGGCACATCGTGTATGGTGAATTCATCGAAGGATGAGATTCATTGGGATGCTACATGAAAGTACCTCTGCAGTAGGGTATCCTTGGTCTGGTATACCCCACTAAGCTGCTCTACCATGAGTTTTGAGTTGTTGTTGCAACTCACCCGTTGTGCTCCGAGGTCACGTGCCAACCTCAATCCTGCAAGTAACACTTCGTACTCTACTTGATTGTTGGTGACTTTGAAGCTGAACTTTAGGGATTGCTCTGCGGTGACTTTATTTGATCCCTCCAAAATGATTCCTGCACCACCACCTTTAGAATTGAAGGATCCATCAACGTGTAAAGTCCATACCTGTTGTTCTTCGGCCGAGGTTGGGGTGAGTTCGGCCACGAAATTTGCTAGGCACTAAGCTTTCAAGGGGCCGCGACTTTCGTATTGGATGCCGAACTCGGATAGCTCCACTGACCATGCTATCATGCGCCCGACGAGTTCTGGCTTTCTCAGTATCTGCTTGATTGGTAGTCAGTTTTGACGACCACCTGGTGACTTTGGAAGTAAGGTCGGAGTCGTCGAGCTGCAATAACGAGTGCTAATGCCAACTTCTCGATCGTTTGATATCGCTTCTCTGTGTCTTGAAGGACTCGGCTGATAAAGTAAATGGGAGTTTGCACTTTGTGATGTTCCTGTACTATTATCGCGCTGATTGTGCCTTCTGCCACGGCCAGGTAGAGAAGGAGGTCGGCGTGATGATCCAGCCTCTGAAGGATTGGTGGAGTTGTGAGAAAAACTTTGAAGCTTTTGAAAGCTTCTTCGCATTGCTTGGTCCACTCAAAGTTCTTTGGCTTCCGCAACAAGGTGAAGATGGGCCCTTCCTTCTCTGCCAACCTGGGGAAGAAACGGGAGAGAGAGACTAACCTTCCTGCTAAGCGTTGGACATCCTTGACAGTCTGGGGACTCTACATCTGGATAATGGCTTTGCATTTCTCTGGGTTGGCTTCAATACCTTTGTTGGTGATCATAAAGCCAATGAATCTTCCTCCCTGGACGCCAAAGACACACTTCTCTAGATTGAGGCGCATGTTGTATTTTCTAATCTGGCTAAACACCTCAGCCAAGTCGACAACATGAGCCTCGGCTGAAGTGGTCTTGAAAACCATGTCATCGACGTAGACTTCCATATTACGTCCAATCTGTTGGTGAAAGACTTTGTCCATCAGCCTTTGGTAAGTAGCTCCTGCGTTTTTTAGGCCGAATGGCATCACGCGGTAGCAGAAGTTGGCATGGTCGGTGATGAACGACGTGTGCACCTCGTCTGGTGGGTACATCATGATCTGGTTGTACCCGGAGTAAGCATCCAGAAAGCTGAGGAGGGCGTGCCCGGATGCTCCACCGACCAACCTATCAATGCTCGGTAAGGGGTGTGAGTCTTTGGGGCATTCCTTATTCAGGTCGGTGTAGTCGACGCACATACGCCACTTTCCCGAGTTTTTTTTAACAAGTACCACATTCACTAGCCACGTGGTGTACCGGACTTCCCGGATGAATCTTGCCTTTATTAACTTTTGCGTCTCAGCTATGATAGCTGCTCGCCTCTCACCGCCAACCTTCTGTTTCCTTTAGGCCACCGATTTGGCCTCTCTATGGATTGCCAACCTGTGACAGATAAAGTTAGGGTCTATACCTGGCATGTCGGCGCTGGACCATGTAAAAAGGTCGGCGTTCTTGGAGATTTCATCTTCAAGTTACTGTCGTAGCTCTAGGCTTAGCTGTCGGCTTATCTTTGTACACTGTCCAAGGAGTTTACCGACTTGAAGATCGTCAAGCTCATCGATTGGGCTTGGTCGATCGTCATAGGATTCCGACCTTGGGTCCAGGTCAGTAATGTCAACCTGGGCTATGTGAGCTATGGTGGGGGGCTCACCTCGGTGGCGCTCCTCTGATGGCGAGACCTTCAGGCTTTCAGCGTAGCATTCCCGAGCTGTCTTTTGGTTTTCCCTGACTGAGATGATCTTGCCATTGCTTCCTGGGAATTTCATCGTTAGATGCAGGGTAGACACCATATCTCCAAGTTGGTTCAACGTCGGCCTTCCGATGATGATACTGTAGGATGTGTTGGCCTCAACAAGGAGGTATCTGACCATGATTCTCCATGAGTCAAGAGGGGTCCCAAAGGTTTTCAGCAGATCTACGTACCCTCGAGTGTGAACTTGCTCTCCTGCAAAACCGACTACGGGTTCTATGTGAGGTTGAATGAGGGAGTGAGGGATATCTAACCTTAGGAACGTCGGCCAGTATAGGACATCAGCTGAGCTTCCCTGGTCTATCAGCATCTTGTGGACCTCCTAGTTTGCTACCTCTACAGCGATGACCATAGGGTTGTCCTGGTTTGGACAAACGCCTGCGTAGTCGTTGTCTCTGAAGGTGATGGGTGGAGTATTGCAGTGTGGGGCCGAGGTGTTAGTGTGGATGTTGTTGATGCTCCGCAAGTGCCTTTTGCGTGCCGAGTTACTGGAGCCTCCCCTTGCGAAGCCGCCTGCAATTGTATTGATAACTCCTCGCAAGGGAGCTGACCCTGGATCCTGACTTACCTCGGCCTACACCGCTCCACCAGTGTTTTGCTGAGATCTGGAGGGTTGGTCTGCGCGAGTGCCAGAACCTCGGCCTCGCCCTCGTCCATGGTAGCCTCCTTTATGAGATTGTTGTCGTTGGACGTACTGTCCGAGATGCCCTCCTCGGTTGTGTGACCATAGTTTCTATGATATTGACAATTCTTGGACTTGTCCGCGCTGTTGGGACTGTGCCCAGGCGGTGGCAGAGTGATCAGATTGGTGTTGCTGGCCTCTTCCAGGATGTGTACTTGGGGCGCATTCAGGGGGGTGTAGAAGTCATACCTCCCTCCTTTGCTTGCCCTAGCCTTTTTGAACTGGTTATCATTACTGACTTTCATCTTGTCCTTGTGGTCGTGATCCGGCTTCACCTATGATTTTCCACGAACTTGGTCGTGAAAAGCGATGTGTTCCTCCATCTGAATGTACCCTACAGCTCAGGCACGGAGTTCGTCCATATCTAGGGGAGCTTGTCGACACAGGCTATCGACAGAAGTCCCTAGCTTGAGCGCCATGAGCATGGCGAGAAGGGAGACCTCGGGATTTAGGTTGCGGATCTCGACCCAGATGCTAGCAAAGCGCTCCATGAACGCCCTTAGTGGTTCGTCGTCGCCCTGTCTGAGACTGGCCAAGGCGGCGGATGTAATGTGATGAGGTTGACTCATTGTGTAATGTGCCGTGAATCGCCTTACCAGAGTGTCAAAGTTATCGACTGATCCTGCTGGCAATTGAGTATACCAGGCAAGTGTATCTCCCTTGAGCGAGGTCGAAAAAACCCTACACATAATAGCATCCTCATTAGTGTACAGGTTTACCTGTGTGACGTACAGATCGACGTGCTCATCCGGGTTAGTAGTGCCATCGTAACGGTCGATGTTGAGAGGCTTCCATCAAAAAGGAAGGGGTGTCTCCATGATGCCATCAACAAAAGGAGGGTGGCGGATGCTCACCCATTGCCCTGGTGCCTGGGCAGGGGCATTGCTGACTTCATGGTCTGACCTGTTCGTCGGTACGTGTGACCGGTATGTAGTAGACCTATGGGTCGCCGCCCTGGGTGCGGTCGGTGGCTGAGAAACCAAATGCCCCTCTTCCTCGTTTTGATTGCTTGGTTAATGATAGACTATGGCCAAGGCAAAGGAATCCAAGAGGTGATATCTTAAAAGAACCAAGAGGAATGGGATGATCTTAAAGACCTTTTCATATGTTTGTACATATAGTAGTTTCTTTGTATAGGCTTATTTTTGCCTTTGTATTTGTGAGGCACTTTACTGGATTTTATTAGTGATTGTATATTGTTTTTAGGGTGCGTTACTTGGAGAGTTTAACTTCATTTAACCTCATTTGTTGATACATTCATTTTATATTTTTCAGTAGGGAAAAAGGGGTGGCATTTAGCAATGCTTGAGGGTGTGACAAGTAATTGGGCCAGAACTGGGCCTAGGCAAAATTTTGCATATTAGACTCATTTTGCTCCTAATTTTTCATAGATTTGATTTAGCTAGGTCTCATCATCATATGATGAACCTAACTAAACCAAATCAAATATTTTTGAAATAAATCATGGAGCATTTTTGAGCTTGTAGAGCGAGGGAACGCCAAAAAGCTTCCCAGTTTTACGAAATATATAAAAGCACGCTTCAAAGGTTTTCTTCTTAAAATCCTTCCTTTTACTGCTTTCTGTTTGTATATTTAACTGTCATCATGTAGATAGTTAATTTATAATCGCTTATAATAAATAGGGGTAATTTAGTAATTTTATACTGTTATTTTGGCCGCCTAGCTCATTCCTTTTGTTCTTGGCTGAAATTTCTAGCTTCTCCTACAAGCTTTGAAGCTTGCCTTCCAAGCTTCTAAACCTTGGTAGGTTAGGCTGACCTTACCATGGTTCTTAAGTGAACCATGGTCAAGGTTAGCATCTCCTACAAGTTTTAGAAACCATGGATGGTTAGCTACAGCTTACCGTGGTTCCTAGTGAACCATGGTTAAGGTTAGCTTACACTAGAAGCTACCTCTCCCTATATATTTGCTTTCTCTTCACTTGTATTCACTTTTGAACATTTTGAGAAATAGAAATTAGATTTCTCTCTCACTCAAGAGTCTTGAAAACCATAGAGAACTCTCTCTAAGGTTTCTATCAAAGTTTCTTCAAACTTTGCCTTGGTTCCTCAAGCTTCTACAACAAGCTAGGAGTAACCGAACCAATTCCATTGCTTCTCCACCATTGGAGAATCCTCCAAGGTGTTTCCGCCACCTCAAGGAGTTCAACCTCAAGAGTTCTTCGATCCTTGCATGGAAAACTTGAGGAATCAACAGTCTTCTCCAAGTAGTTCCATCATTTTTGGTATCTAGAGCCTAGTGCTCTTGAGGTTATGTGTTTCTAATTTTTTCTTCATTGAATCCGGGTTTTTCCTTCCTTATCTTTGTCTAAATTTGTGTTGTTGTATGGATCTAGTTTTATTTCATATTTTGATGGATCCTATATGTCTCATGAGAAGTAATTGATTCATATTTTGCTTGTTTCCAATTCTTGTGAATCAATTTGGTTTGTTCTTTTAGGACTCTTGTTCTTGTGCGTTTTTTTTATGTTTGTTTGAGTCTCTCCATTCCTAGACTAGCTTGTTTGACATAATTTTGTGTTGTTCTTCACTTATTGTTTGGTGAATCTTTTTTGTTATTAAATATGAACCTACTCATATGTGCTTTTGTGTTACATGTTTGAGTTCATAATTTGCTATTAGTTCTAGCAAATTTGCTAGAGTTAGGTTTCTATTATGTCTTGTTAAAAGTTTTGTCAAAAAAATTGTTAAACACTATTTCCTATTAGGTTTCTTTGAGTCTTATGTGTGGCTGAAACCTATATCATTTCTAAAAGCCTTAAAACAGAGACAAAACAGAGGTGTATGTGTTCTTAATGCATGAGAAACAAAAAAGAAAGTAGTGCCTGTCGCCACCGGCCCAAACGGGCCTCGGCGG